ACCCCGCGGAGGAGGATTTGCATTTCCGGGCAGAAGTCTGCCAAAACCACTTCATTTTCCTGAATTACAAGGCTTAAAAGGCCCGGACAGGCACAATAATCCTGTTCCGGTGTCCTTCCATTGAGAAAAGGAGATTGCACCCTCTCCTTAAACTCACTGTTAAATTGGCATAATACTCCCAATTTTCAGTGAGCAACGGACACTCAGGTGAAAACCTGAGGTTTACAACCGAGGAGGAACACGTGAAGGATCCAGCTACAGGATAATCATTAACTTATCTTCTTTTTATTGCGTGTTTTCGTTTTTGCGAACTCTTCAAGAACATTCGTTTCTTTTTGCGCGTATTTTTGGATCGTTTCCTGACGAAGAATTCATATTCATTTTTGAAAGACTATCGAAGGAGCATAGAGACGAACTCTAACTTCTTATTATTGAAAAAGTGTTTCTTATACAGTTGTTGTGTCTTGATGTCAGAGGTTGATTGTTTTTACGTCAGATATTTGACATTCCATAAGCGTGATTTACTGACACGCATCATTCCTCCAAGCATCCCTGAACAACATGACAATAAATTTTGACTAAGTCTAAATTTATCCAGGGATTAATCAACTACATGTGAAATTGATGTATGTTGGTGTTTAAAGGAAATTCCAACATTCTTTGTGAGGGGAAAAATCTATCTGCTATTAATTCCCTTTTACATATATTGATTTACGAGCGGTGAGTTACTTTCAATTAGGCCTCAGAGCTGCGAGGCTACAAGGTGTTTAAGACAGAGTGGCTGTTTATCCTATTAAGAAGTGTTTGTTCTCATAACATGCAAGACTGTTTATCAGGGATTTTATTTATAACATTTCTACTGCTTGCTCCACTGTCACTATAAGCATGCTTGATGCGAGGGATTGCTTTTGAGTCAATGAGTCAATTATGCAATCAGCTGGTTTTCTTTAGATAGAAAACTTTGAATCAGTTTGACTGGATGATCTAGTTGAATTGTCTCTGTAAAGTGACTTGAGATGACATGTGTTGTGAATTGGCGTTATATAAGTAAAATGAATTTAATTTAATATAATATTCTTATTAACATATGGCAAACAATTGCCAATGATCCTGAAGAGAATCAAGAGGATATTAAGGGTAGATAGATGGTTTTGTATAGTTCTTAGATACTGACTAAAAATAAATTTTTCTACCAGTTGGTTTCAGTCAAACAGAACCTACTAAGCTTCAACACTTCATATGTATTCTTTATTGCAATAAATAATAAGCATTATTTTTGTAACAACATGCAGGTCTGTAACCCCTATAGGCAAAATATTTAGTTTCGAACTTGGTCTGCATAATATGAATAAAAACTATGATAACCAATTCTTGCACACAAATTTATAACAATTTGGATTACATCTTTAAATAGCATGTAGTAACAGTGTGTAATATTAGCATGAATTTGTTATGTAGCTAATATGGTTCTGTCTAAATGTGTCTTGTTAAAAAATATACATGTTATTTTTAAAAATGAAAATGTAAGTGATTAATTGCAAGCAACATCACTAATAAATAAATAAATAAATAAATATTTCCAAATCTCTGTATGCATATCAAGAATCAAGTCAAACAGAAATATTTTGCAAGAGAAAAAGTTAAAAGACGGTCATAAATTTAAATAAATCATTAAAAAGTTGTATTTTTTTCATACTAAACAATTGTTTCTTCATTTAAAAATAGCAGATGCAACGAGTGCTGTGATTAAAAGGAAACTTCCTTTATAAGTCACTCCTGAAGAGGCTGTGGTTGTTGCTGAAGTTGTAGCAGTGAAAATTGATGTTGTTGGAGCAGCTGTGGTTGGAGCAGCAGTGGTTGTTGGAGCAACAGTGGTTGTTGGAGCAGCTGTGGTTGGAGCAGCAGTGGTTGTTGGAGCAGCAGTGGTTGTTGGAGCAGCAGTGGTTGGAGCAACAGTGGTTGTTGGAGCAGCAGTGGTTGTTGGAGCAGCTGTGGTTGGAGCAGCTGTGGTTGGAGCAGCAGTGGTTGTTGGAGCAGCAGTGGTTGTTGGAGCAGTTGTGGTTGGAGCAGCAGTGGTTGTTGGAGCAGCTGTGGTTGTTGGAGCAGCTGTGGTTGGAGCAGCAGTGGTTGTTGGAGCAGCAGTGGTTGTTGGAGCAGCTGTAGTTGGAGCAGCAGTGGTTGTTGGAGCAGCTGTGGTTGTTGGAGCAGCTGTGGTTGTTAGAGCAGCAGTGGTTGTCGGAGCAGCAGTGGTTGGAGCAGCTGTGGTTGTTGGAGCAGCTGTGGTTGTTGGAGCAGCTGTGGTTGTTGGAGCAGCAGTGGTTGTTGGAGCAGCTGTGGTTGGAGCAGCTGTGGTTGTTGGAGCAGCTGTGGTTGTTGGAGCAGCTGTGGTTGTTGGAGCAGCTGTAGTTGGAGCAGCAGTGGTTGTTGGAGCAGCTGTGGTTGTTGGAGCAGCTGTGGTTGTTAGAGCAGCAGTGGTTGTCGGAGCAGCAGTGGTTGGAGCAGCTGTGGTTGTTGGAGCAGCTGTGGTTGTTGGAGCAGCTGTGGTTGTTGGAGCAGCTGTGGTTGTTGGAGCAGCAGTGGTTGTTGGAGCAGCTGTGGTTGTTGGAGCAGCTGTAGTTGGAGCAGCAGTGGTTGTTGGAGCAGCTGTGGTTGTTGGAGCAGCTGTGGTTGTTAGAGCAGCAGTGGTTGTCGGAGCAGCAGTGGTTGGAGCAGCTGTGGTTGTTGGAGCAGCTGTGGTTGTTGGAGCAGCTGTGGTTGTTGGAGCAGCAGTGGTTGTTGGAGCAACAGTGGTTGTTGGAGCAGCTGTGGTTGTTGGAGCAGCTGTGGTTGTTGGAGCAGCTGTGGTTGGAGCAGCAGTGGTTGTTGGAGCAGCAGTGGTTGTTGGAGCAGCAGTGGTTGTTGGAGCAACAGTGGTTGTTGGAGCAGCTGTGGTTGTTGGAGCAGCTGTGGTTGTTGGAGCAGCTGTGGTTGTTGGAGCAGCAGTGGTTGCTGGAGCAGCAGTGGTTGTTGGAGCAACAGTGGTTGTTGGAGCAGCTGTGGTTGTTGGAGCAGCTGTGGTTGGAGCAGCAGTCGTTGGAGCAGCAGGGGTTGTGGGAGCAACTGTGGTTGTTGGAGCAACAGTGGTTGTTGAAGCAACTGTGGTTGTTGGAGCAACAGTGGTTGTTGGAGCAGCTGTGGTTGTTGGAGCAACTGTGGTGGTTGTTGGAGCAGCAGTGGTTGCTGGAGCAGCAGTGGTTGTTGGAGCAACTGTGGTGGTTGTTGGAGCAGCAGTGGTTGCTGGAGCAGCTGTGGTTGTTGGAGCAGCAGTGGTTGCTGGAGCAGCAGTGGTTGTTGGAGCAGCTGTGGTGGTCGGAGCAGCTGTGGTTGTTGGAGCAGCAGTGGTTGCTGGAGCAGCAGTGGTTGTTGGAGCAGCTGTGGTTGTTGGAGCAGCAGTGGTTGCTGGAGCAGCAGTGGTTGTTGGAGCAGCTGTGGTTGTTGGAGCAGCAGTGGTTGTTGGAGCAGCTGTGGTGGTCGGAGCAGCTGTGGTTGTTGGAGCAACTGTGGTGGTTGTTGGAGCAGCAGTGGTTGCTGGAGCAGCTGTGGTTGTTGGAGCAGCTGTGGTTGCTGGAGCAGCAGTGGTTGTTGGAGCAGCTGTGGTGGTCGGAGCAGCTGTGGTTGTTGGAGCAGCAGTGGTTGCTGGAGCAGCTGTGGTTGTTGGAGCAGCAGTGGTTGCTGGAGCAGCAGTGGTTGTTGGAGCAGCTGTGGTGGTCGGAGCAGCTGTGGTTGTTGGAGCAGCAGTGGTTGCTGGAGCAGCAGTGGTTGTTGGAGCAGCTGTGGTGGTCGGAGCAGCTGTGGTTGTTGGAGCAACTGTGGTGGTTGTTGGAGCAGCAGTGGTTGCTGGAGCAGCTGTGGTTGTTAGAGCAGCAGTGGTTGCTGGAGCAGCAGTGGTTGTTATAACAGCAGTGGTTGTTGGAGCAGCTGTGGTTGTTGGAGCAGCCGTGGTTGTTGGAGCAGCAGTGGTGGTCGGAGCAGCTGTGGTTGTTGGAGCAGCAGTGGTTGCTGGAGCAGCAGTGGTTGTTGGAGCAGCTGTGGTTGTTGGAGCAGCAGTGGTTGCTGGAGCAGCTGTGGTTGTTGGAGCAGCAGTGGTTGCTGGAGCAGCAGTGGTTGTTGGAGCAGCAGTGGTGGTCGGAGCAGCTGTGGTTGTTGGAGCAGCAGTGGTTGCTGGAGCAGCAGTGGTTGTTGGAGCAGCTGTGGTGGTCGGAGCAGCTGTGGTTGTTGGAGCAACTGTGGTGGTTGTTGGAGCAGCAGTGGTTGCTGGAGCAGCTGTGGTTGTTAGAGCAGCAGTGGTTGCTGGAGCAGCAGTGGTTGTTATAACAGCAGTGGTTGTTGGAGCAGCTGTGGTTGTTGGAGCAGCCGTGGTTGTTTGAGCATCTGTGGTCGTCATCTGGATGCCTAGGTTTGATTTTATATGAATTATTCATCAAGCAAAGCCTCATGAAATCTATATATGATTTTCAAACATATCACCACCACATTGTGATCATAAGATTAGTAACTTACAAGCAATTAGTAGCAGTATCCAAAAAATCTTCATTATTGTTCCTATTTTTGTTTTCTGTTTGAAAGAAAATATGTGTATTATCTTGTATTTGTTATAATTAGTTTACTTTGTATATCCCATTTATTTAAAAATACATTTTATCTTCTATATCTGCAACTAGACTATTTAACATATTACTTTAATACTAATTTAATACATCTCAAAAAGCAAGTTTGATTTTCTTTGTACATTCATACTTTTTACTTTTCTGTTTCAATTCTCTTTTGTCATTTTGTGAAAAAATGGATGAAGATTTGTTTTTCCCTTTCAGTAGAGAACTTTATTATTATAAAACACCAATTTCAGACAGATACTTCTTTTTAGCAAGAAGTTTAGAACTTAGCAAGAAAAACACATCCAATTCTTATGACAAAATAAAAAAAATTGCTAACATAAATTACAATGAAATTGTTATAATATTAATAATAATAATAATAATAAGAATGTAGTCAGGCATGGCTTATAATGCCAATTAGCGTAGAATATACATCTATAGCATTAAGTTTTTGCTGAGTGTATGTATATATATATATATATATATATATATATATATATATATATATATATATATATATATATATATATATATATTAGACAGCATGGGATTAATTTCCACTGTTATGCTGATGATACCCAGCTATATCTGTCTATAAATCCAGATGAAGCTAACCCATTACATAGATTACAGGCATGTCTTGAAGACATAAGAACCTGGATGACTCTTAACTTTCTGCTTCTGAATGCAGACAAAACAGAAGTTATAGTCTTTGGACCAGAGTCTCTGAAAAAGAAACTGATTAGCCAGTCACTTCATTTGGATGGGATTAAACTGATTTCAGATAATAAAGTAAAAAATCTTGGTGTTATTTTTGATCAGGACCTGTCATTTAAATCCCATATCAAAGAGGTTTCTAGAATTGCCTTCTTTCATCTGAGGAACATTGCAAAAATTAGAAATATCCTGTCCAGGGGTGATGCTGAGAAACTAGTCCATGCATTTGTTACTTCAAGGCTGGACTATTGTAATTCTTTACTATCAGGAAGTCCACAAACTGTAGTTAAAAGCCTTCAGCTGATCCAAAATGCTGCAGCCAGAGTTCTAATGAAAATTAAAAAGAGAGATCATATCTCGCCTATCCTGGCTTCTCTTCATTGGCTTCCTGTTAAATCAAGAATAGAATTTAAAATCCTCCTTCTCACATATAAAGCCTTAAATGGCCAAGCTCCATCTTATATCAGAGATATGATTGTTCCTTATGTTCCTAACAGAGCACTTCGCTCTCAATCTGCAGGTTTACTAGTGGTTCCTAGAATTTCTAAAAGTAGAATGGGAGGCAGATCTTTTAGTTATCAGGCTCCTCTCCTGTGGAACCAACTACCAGTTTTAGTCCGTGAGGCAGACACCCTGTCTACTTTTAAGGCTAGGCTTAAAACTTTCCTTTTTGATAACGCTTATAGTTAGAGTGGCTCAGGTTATCCTGAGCTATCTCTATAGTTATGCTGCTATAGGCTTAGACTTTTGGAGGACATAGGGACCCCCATTTCATCATTCTGCTTCATTCTCTCTCTGTTCTCCTATTCTGCAGAATCTGTTAGTTCAATCTCTAACCTTCTGCTCTCTCTGCTTTTCCTCGGAGTAGCTTTGCCTCGTCTGTTCCTGTTTGGCTGTGACGTCATCCTGGAAAGAAACAACAGCTGTGCTGCTTCCATCAACACCCTTGTTTATAGATGTTGGAGATTGGCCTGTTTTCCAGTGTGGTCCTGTTTCTCTGACAGTGACTGAGTGGATGTGCTCTCTTCATCCTCTGACATGGGAACTGCCTTGGGGCTCGTCTGCCTGGCTGTGTGTTTCCTGGACAGGGCCGCCTTTTACAGCTGCTTTTTGTATCTCTGCTTCTGTCTCCTTGAACCCCAGTCGGCCTCAGCAGATGGCCGCTCACACTGAGCCTGGTTCTGCTGGAGGTTTCTTCCTGTTAAAAGGGAGTTTTTCCTCTCCACTGTAGCTACAAGCATGCTTAGTGTGAGGGATTGTATTTGAGTCAATGAGTCAATGCAATCAACTGGTTTTCCTTAGATAGAAAACTTTGTATCGATTTGACTGTATGATCTGGTTGAACTGTAAAGTGCCTTGAGATGACATGTGTTGTGAATTTGGCGCTATATAAATAAACTGAATTGAAATTGAATTGAATATATATATATATATATATATATATATATATATATATATATATATATATATATATATATATATATATATATATATATATATATATATATATATATAAACATATTTAAAAGCAGCATAAAATAGAAGTTTGAAGAGGCACATATAGATATATACTTAATTCACCATATGTATATGCCCTAAGCACTCACAGTGTAAGCATGTAGTAGAAATATATCACTTACAGATTTCGTCTGATGAGTTGCCTTCACAGCTGTAACAGAGGTTCTGATGCTCTCTGATCCTATCAGTTTGTGGTTAACTAGTACTATTCACCATTGAAGCAAAGGTTTTATATACATCAAGAGCAGGTACTGTAATGTCAGACGGACGTAATGGTAAAAATTAGTCAGCAATTAAGTGTACAATTCTTTATCTTAGGTGTGGCTATCAGAGGAACATTTTTTGACTCATCTGTCTAAGACTGGTTGAGCAGCATTTCATTTACCTTTGGACATAGGAACATGACTAATTTTTTATTCATGTTTTTTTTAAAGAACTTTTTTCCAGGTACGTCATTTAGCATTAATATATATAATATTTATGAACATATCAAAAAAGCTCGATCTCAATGTATCTCAGCGAAAATTTAGAGTTTTCTTTAATGTTAACATGTTCATGTGACTGTCCATAATGTAAGTTTAATTTTCTTACATCCAAAATGCCTCAATTAAGTTTTGTTTTATTTTTATGAAAGCTCAGAATTATTATTTTAAATTTCTATATCTGGAAATAGTTTCTGTTTGATGGCAGTGCTTTTTTTATGTACCTAAATGTGAAGCACTGACATGTTTCATTAAATGATTCACTCAAAATGGGAAGGTTTATAAAGTCACACCCTTGGGGTGTTACCTGCAGTATATTTTTATGTATGTAGACTGTTTTTTCCTTGCAAGGAAGAACAACCCTTTATTTACTGGATCAGTTTTGACGTCAAAGACAATAAAGCTGCATGCTGGAAATACTTTTTGTCCTGAATTTGTTTGCTAGCCTGCATAGGGCTGCATCTCTTAAAAACCTGTTGTTGTTTTAATCCCGATGTAGATATTTTTTTTTACTATTTAGTTTTGCTAATTTTTTTTGAATAAAAGTATTTTGAGTAATAAAAAAACTCTAATTATATTTAAATTTTCTTCCCATCCTTTCTTCCATTTTGTTATCTGTACTCCTGCTTTTCATGAATGATTTTCCAATTTTTCATTATCAACTTATAAAATTACAAGTGTCTGCAAACATTTGCAGATTAGTTAAAACAAAACCTTAAACAAACTTTTTAAAACATGTCACAGCTGGTTTATAAATAGTTTCTTTATTACACACTTTATTGTCTATGATGTAAAAAAAAACAATCCAGTGATGGAAGTCTTATTAAAGGGTGGAGTCTCCTTACGTAGGACAAGAACAACAGCACTATAATGGTGTGACCTCAGAAAATGTTTCTGTTTTGACTGAGTCATATAAACAAACATTTTAGGTTCCTTTTCTTACATACCAAAATACTGTCCTAAAATTGAATGCTATTTTTGGATAATGTCGCTTCAGTTATAAATGGATAAAAAAAAATTATAATGTTTGGATGAGGAAAGTTTTAAATACTGTTAATGTATTTCAAACATATTCTAAAGAATGAATTATCTAAAAAGTATTTATGTATTTTAAAATGATTGCATGCAGACATTCAAAACAAGCATTTTCCAAATTTTGCTAAAAATAACTACCTGGTTCCTCAATGGTAGAACAACACATTTCCTGAAACAGCACAGGCAATATTTTAAAGGCACAAACACTTAGCTTCTTTTTTTCCTACGATATATGAATGTTCAGACTTAAAAGATAAGAATCAGATGGAATGAAGGCACAATTCACATAGATAGGTGTTTCTTATACAGTGGCTGTGTCTTGATGTCAGAGTTGGATTTTTTTTACGTCAGATATTTGACATTCCATAAGAGTGATTTACTGACATGCTGTGTCCAAGCATCCCTGAACAACATGACAATAAATTGGATCTGGATCAGTTTTGAGGTCAAAGACAATGAAGCTGCAAGTTGGAAAAAATTAGTTGACTTTGTTTGCTAGTCTATTCAGGGCTCTTTTTAAAGCTTTTTATTCAGTTATAAAAATAGTTACTTTTAAGCGAAGCTACAATGTTTTATGGAACTCATAAAAACTGTACAGTATGTCCTCTGTCAGGTTTTTCTTTGTCTAAATTTTTTTTTTCTATTCTGAGAGACTTTGTCTGTTGAAGGGGTTAACTCTCAGTTGTACCTTTCCTTAATGTATGAAGAAGTCAACAGTGACATTTTTTTGATCCAATAAGCAAAGATACAGCCTATAAGGCCTAGTGAACTCATTACTACTAACCACTGAAAAAGTCTCTCAGATAAACATGAGACCTTTCAGCAGAGAAGAATGTATCCCTACTTTATTTTTATGGCACTTCAAAAAAAAAAAAGAAAAAAATTGTCAATCCCATCAGAAGCCTTTTCACAAGGCTTAAAATACTGTTCCAGTAAAAATAAATGTATTATTATTCAGTTACTTATTATCAACTGATCATGAGTTACTTTTGGTTATAAATAAATAAATGGCTCCTACAGCTAGCCTACGTCTGTTTTGTGTTGCGGATCTGCTGCGCCGCATTAAGAAATCATTTCACATATTTATCCATGGTTCCCTTGATCAGAGTGTTATCCAACCTCGAGTTCACTTCTTTTTTCAAAACAATATAAAAGGTCAAAGTTTGTGAAACCAACATGTAGGAGGCCAGTCTTTAAAACGCAAACTGCATTCCTCATCTCAGCTCTGGAAGGGACAACGGTCTCCACATCTTCATCCTCCTCCCACTCCTCGCTGCGCGGAGCACTGGTACCCGGGATTACAGGATGAACCAGTAGGTAAACCTGAAATCCGGATTGGGGGGAGGGGAGTGGTGTCACCGCTAACACCAACCCATCTAGTTCCTGCTTCAGATCAGGTCATGTTAAACATGACTTGTATTCAAGTCATGTTTAACAAAATCATTGATAAAAATATCTACCTTGTTGATGAACACTCCTGAGAAAACAGAAAATTTCCCAGATCTTATGTTTTCTAATCTATTTATTACAAAGAAACATGGACATTGAGGAGATAAAATTTGCTAAATAGATAAAGTAGATAGACTGATTATATAAATGATCTTTAATCATTCTTTTTTTGCTTTTTATTATTGATCACATGAAGGAAAATATACTTTTGTATAATCGAAAGGGTGAAACTGTGGAAAGAGAAATTAATTTCCTGTCACTTCACTTCTAATATAAGAGTGAATTTTGGATTACTTACTTTAAAATATATTAAATGATGTTTTTATGATTTTTTTGTTTCAATATTTCTCCAATCTCATGTACAGGGGGCTAAATATATCAGACATTGTTTGCATTATAATAGTGACAGTTATTAAGGTGGGGTCCACTCAGCTGTTCTAGGGGTCCTAACAGAGCAGTTGACTCTCAGACTGCAGGAAAACTTGTGGTTCCTAGAATTTCTCAAAGTAGTATAGGAGGCAGAGCTTTGAGTAATTAGGCTCTTCCTCTGTGGAACAAATAGCTTTATTTTATGAGGCAAACCCTCTGTCTAGTTTTAAGACTTTTCTTTTTTCTTTAATAAAGATTATAGTTAGAATTGCTCAGTCTATCCTTAGCTATCTCTGAAGAACATTGGGACCAATTTCCTTATTCTGGTACATTCTCTTTCCATCAAGTTTTGTGTTTTTTGGTGATGTTTCGACTAATATTATTTTTTCTCTTTTTTTCCTGAGCTGGTTCTACAGGTTTCTTCCTGTTAAAGAGGAGTTTCCCTCCACTTTTATTTCACACTTGGTCGATAGCAGCAAAGTCTATGAATCACCTTTTTTAATTACTATGCCAATATGATACCAGTGAATTTCTCCGCTATGAGATCAATAAAGCTCATCTAACCTAATCTAATCTATGACAATGTGCATTAAATTCTCTACTGTCTTACATGATCATTCTGGAGAATTGACTGGTGGTGGTTCATGCTTGGATCTAATCTACTTGTTTGGATAGAAAATTGTTGCCATTTTTAAACTAACTAAATGGCAAGCAGAAATGTTTATTTTAATCTGTTTTTTTTTTTCTTAGTGACTGCTATTCCCTTTGTGATGGATAAACAGCTATGTTTCAGGTGCGCACAGCCCTGCACGATGCACAAATCAAAGCTGTAAAAGTATTACATAAACAGTTAACACACACTTTGTATTGTACATCTACAGACATAATGATAATATTAAGATAAGAAAAAAAAAAAGGTTGCTAAGAAGCCCAATCAGGTCTGTACCTTGCATTAATGATACTTCCCCATGATGGTTTTATTTGAAAGATTGTCATTTCAGTAATTTCCCTCTGGGGTTATTAAAGTATGTCTGATTCTGATTTCAGTTTATCACTGAATGATATGCTAAATTCTATGAAAAGAAAAATCTATAAAATGTAGCTCTCTTTGGAATTTCAAGATCTTTAAATTTTATATAATATTGTAATGGACATAACACAAACAGATGGTTCAATGTTCCTCATCTTTCCATAAATGCATGACATACTAAAATATAGTATCCTAAAATAAATCAAGATGATAGCAAAGGTAGATTGATGGTTTTGTGAAGTTATTAGATACTGTATATCAATAATTTCTTCTATCAATTGGTATGAGTCACACAAAAACATACTAAGCCTCCACACCTTACATGTATTCTTTATTGAGATTTTTAATATTATTTTTATAACAAAATACATTCTAGGCACCGCTACATACAACACATTTAATTTTAAACTTTGGATTGCTTCATATAAATAAAAACCAAAGTAACCAATTTGGTTATCTTAGTTTTGTATCTGTGTGTGATTCTGACACACGAATATATATTTTTTTACATCTTCCAAGAACATGTCCTAATAACAGTGTGTAATATTTGCATTAATTTGTAGGGTAGTTCATATGATTCTGTATTACTATGTCTTGTAAAAGAAATACATGTTCTATGCTACAAAGAAAATATAGTAAATTAATGGCAAAATTAATAAATAAATAAATAAATAGAAATATCGGCATAAATATCAGGATTCAATACAAACAAATACAGTGCAATACATTTTACTAAATAATGAAGATTTTCTAGACTTATTTGGCACTAAAGAATTGTTTCTTTAGTTAAAAATGGCTGCTGTAATCACTGCTGTTATTAACAGAAAACTTGCTTTATAGGTCACTCCTGAAGAGGCTGTGGTTGTCGCTGAAAATGTTGTGGTTGGAGCTGATGTGGTAGAGGGTGGCCCTGCAGTTGTTGGAGGAGCTGCAGTCATTGTTGGAGCAGCTGTGGTTGTTGGAGCAGCTGTGGTTGTTGGGGCAGCTGTGGTTGTTGGGGCAGCTGTGGTTGCTGGAGCAGCTGTGGTTGTTGTTGCAGCAGCGGTAGTTGTTGCAGCAGCAGTTGTTGTTGGAGCAGCTGTTGTTGTTGTTGCAGCAGCAGTTGTTGTTGCAGCAGCTGTGGTTGTTGTTGCAGCAGCCGTGGTTGTTGCAGTAGCAGTGGTTGTTGGAGCAGCAGTGGTTGTCGGAGCAGCAGTGGTTGTTGGAGCAGCTGTGGTTGTTGTTGCAGCAGCCGTGGTTGTTGGAGAAGCTGTGGTTGTTGGAGCAGCTGTTGTCATTGTTGCAGCAGCTGTGGTTGTTGGAGCACCTGTGGTTGTTGGGGCAGCTGTGGTTGTTGGAGCAGCTGTGGTCGTTGTTGCAGCAGCAGTGGTTGTTGGAGCAGCTGTGGTTGTTGCAGCAGCTGTGGTTGTTGGATTAGCTGTGGTTGTTGCAGCAGCTGTGGTTGTTAGAGCAGCTGTGGTTGTCGTTGCAGCAGCGGTGGTTGTTGTTGCAGCAGCAATGGTTGTTGTTGCAGAAGCTGTGGTTGTTGGAGCAGCTATGGTCGTTGTTGCAGCAGCTGTGGTTGTTGGAGCAGCAGTGGTTGTTGTAGCAGCTGTGGTCATTGTTGCAGCAGCTGTGGTTGTTGGAGCAGCTGTAGTCGTTGTTGCAGCAGCAGTGGTTGTTGGAGCAGCTGTGGTTGTTGGGGCAGCTATGGTTGTGGGATTAGCTGTGGTTGTTGCAGCAGCTGTGGTTGTTGTTGCAGCCGCAGTGGTTGTTGTTGCAGCAGCTGTGGTTGTGGGAGCAGTGGTGGTTGTTGTTGGAGCAGCTGTGGTGGTTGTTGGAGCAGCTGTGGTGGTTGTTGGAGCAGCTGTGATTGTTGTAGCAGCTGTGGTTGATGTTGCAGCAGTGGTGGTTGTTGTTGCAGCAGCCGTGGTTGTTGTTGCAGCAGCTGTGGTTGTTGGAGCAGCTGTGGTCGTTGCAGCAGCTGTGGTTTTTGGAGCAGCTGTGGTTGTTGGAGCAGCTGTGGTAGTTGGAGCAGCTGTGGTTGTTGGAGCAGCTGTGGTTGTTGGAGCAGCTGTGGTTGTTGGATTAGCTGTGGTTGTTGCAGCAGAAGTGGTTGTTGGAGCAGTTGTGGTTGTTGTTGCAGCAGCTGTGGTTGTTGGAGCAGCTGTGGTTGTTGTTGCAGCAGCAATTGTTGTTGTTGCAGCAGCCGTGGTTGTTGCAGTAGCCGTGGTTGTCGGACCACCTGTGGTTGTTGGAGCAGCTGTGGTTGTTGCTGCAGCAGCCGTGGTTGTTGGAGAAGCTGTGGTTGTTGCAGCAGCTGTGGTCGTTGTTGCAGCAGCCGTGGTTGTTGGAGCACCTGTGGTTGTTGGGGCAGCTGTGGTTGTTGGAGCAGCTGTGGTTGTTGGAGCAGCAGTGTTTGTTGCAGCAGCTGTGGTTGTTGCTGCAGCAGACGGGGTTTTGTTGGAGTAAGCTGAAATTGTTGCAGCACTGTGGTCGTTTTTTGGCAGCAGCTGGGGTTTTGATGGAGCAGCTTTGGTCTTTGGGTTTGCAGAAGCTGTGTTTTTTGGCAGCAGCAGTGGTTTTTGGGGGCAGCTGTGGTTTTTTTGGATTACTGGGGTTTGTTGCAGCAGCTGTGGTTTTTTGGGCATTTTGTGGTTTTTGTTGCACGCTTTTTGGTTTTTGGGACCCCTTTTGGTTGTTGGGGCGGCTGTGGTTTTTGGGATTAGCTTTGGTTTTTCAGCAGTTTGGGGTTGTTGGAGCAGCAGTGGTTTTGTAGCAGCTATGGTCGTTTGTTGAAAGCAGCCAGGGGTTGTTGGAGAAACCCTTATCGTTGCACCACAGGGGTTTGGGTTAAAACGCGTTTTTGCTGGAAAAAACTGTATTTTTTGGAAAGGAAAGCTGTGGTTGTTATAGCAGCTGGGTTTTTGGGGAGCAGTTTTGGTGTTTTTGTTGCAGGAGTGGGGGGGTTGGGTTTGTTGCAGCACCCTGGGGTTTTGGGGAGAAAGCGGGGTTTCATTTTTGGGCAGCAGCTGTGGTTTTTTGGTACAGCAGGGGTTGTTGGGGGCAGGCTGTGGTTTTGGGGATTAGCTGTGGGTTAGTTGCAGCAGTTTGGGTTTTTTGGAGCAATTGTGGGGGTTGGGTTGTTGCGGGCAGCTTTATTTTTTGGGAGAAAAAGCAGGTTGTTTTTTTGCAACGGGGCCGGGGGTTGTTGGCGGGTACCGGGGTTTTTTGTTTGGAGCAGCATGGTTTCAGGGGCACTGTGGTTGTTTGGGGGGCAGCTTTTGGTTGTTGTTCCCAGCAGTGTGGTTGTTGGAGGCTGTGGTGGGGGTTGGAGCACTTTTGGTGGGTTTTGGTTGGCAGGCCGTTGGGTTTTGGAGAAACCTGGGCCCGGTTGTTTGCAGCAGGCCGTGGTTTGGTTTGGGGGGGCCATTTTGGGGTTTTGGGGGCAGCTGTGGTTGGGGGTTTTATATTGTGGTTTTGTGAAACGTTTGTGGTTTTTGGGAGCAGTTTTTGGTTGTTTTTTGGCCCGGGCATGGGGGGGTGCTGGACCCGCTTTTGTTGTTTTTTTGCAGCAAAACTTTTTGGGGTTGGGGCGGGCCCTGTTTTTGTTTGTTGGGGGGGAAATTTTTGGTTTTTTGGTTGCAGCCGCAAAATTTTGGGGTTGTTTTTTGATTCGGGGCCGGGGGGTTTTTTTGGGCTTTAGGCCCTTTGGTTTGGGGTTTTGGGGGGCGGGAAATGGTTGCCCGGGGCACTGAGTGGGGGGTTGGGGGGGTTGGGGAGGGGGGCTAGGGGTTTTTTGGGGTTGGGCGGGGCACCCCGGGGTGGTTGTTTGTAAAAGTAAGCCGGTTGTTTGGGGGCGGGGAAAGGGGTTTTGTTGGGGGAAAGGGAAGGGTTGTCGGACCGGGGAGGTTTTTTTGGGAAGCCGGGCTGGGGGTCGATTTTGGGGGCAAGCACCGAGCTTTGTTTGGAGAAACCCCTGGTGGTTGTTTGTTGGAAAACCAGCCCCCTGTTTGTTGCAGGCACCCCCGTGGTTGTTGTTGGGCAGCGGGGCCCTTTGTGTTTTTGGGATGGGGGCCGGGGGGTCGTTGTGGGCAGCTGGGGTTTGTTGGGGGCACCCCGTTTTTTGGGAGAAACGGGGTGGTGGGTTTGGAGCAGCGTTTTAAAGTTGGAGAAACTGTGGTTTGTTGGAGCAGGCTGGGCCCCTTTGGGAAAAGGCAGTTTGTTTTGTTGGAGCAGCTGTTTGGTTGGGGAGAAAACTGTGGTTTTTGGAGCGGGCGGGTGGTTTTTGGGTTTAAAGCGGGGTTGTTGCAGCAGAAGGGGTTGTTGGAGCGTTGTGGTTTTTTTGCGGGCAGCTGTGGTTTTTTGGACACTTTTGGTTTGTTTTGCGCAGCAATTGTTGTTGTTGCGGCAGCCGTGGTTTTGCAGTAGCCGTTTTTGGGAAACCCCCCTGGGGTTTTGGGAGCGCGTGGTTTTCCTGAAAGCAGCCGGGTTTGTTGGAGAAGCCGTGGTTTTGCAGCAGCTGTGGTCGTTGTTGCAGCAGCCGGGGGTTGTTGGGGACCCTGTGGTTTTTGGGTTGGAAAGCTGTGGTTTTTGGAGCAGCTGTGGTTTTTGGGGAGAAACAGGGGTTTTGTTGCAGCAGCGGGGTTTTTGTTGCTGCACCCAACGTTTTTGGGTGGAGAAGCTGTAGTTTTTTTTCAGCACTGGGGTCGTTTCCCGAAGCTGGGGTTTTTGTTGGAGCAGCGGGGTCGTTTTTTGCACAGCTGTGTTTTGCTGCAGCAGGGGTTTTTGGGAGCAGCTGGGGTTGGGGTTTAGCTGTGGTTTTGGTTCGCTGGGGTTTTTTGGGCAGTTGTGGTTTTTGTTGCAGCAGCTGGGGGTTGTTGGAGAAACCTTTTGGTTTTTGGGGGCGGCTGTGGTTTTTGGGATTAGCTGGGGGTTGTTGCGGGCCAGCTGTGGTTGTTGGAGCAGCAGTGGTTGTTGTAGCAGCTATGGTCGTTGTTGCAGCAGCCGTGGTTGTTGGAGCAGCTGTAGTCGTTGCAGCAGCAGTGGTTGTTGGAGCAGCTGTGGTTGCTGGAGCAACTGTAGTTGTTGGAGCAGCTGTGGTTGTTACAGCAGCTGTGGTTGTGGGAGCAGCTGTGGTTGTTGTTGCAGCAGTCGTGGTTGTTGTTGCAACAGCCGTGGTTGTTGTTGCAGTAGCTGTGGTTGTTGGAGCAGCTGTGGTCGTTGTTGCAGCAGCTGGGGTTGTTGCAGCAGCAGTGGTTGTTGGAGCAGCTGTGGTTGTTGGATTAGCTGTGGTTGTTGCAGCAGCTGTGGTTGTTGGAGCAGTTGTGGTTGTTGTTGCAGCAGCTGTGGTTGTTGGAGCAGCTGTAGTTGTTGTTGCAACAGCCGTGGTTGTTGCAGTAGCCGTAGTTGTTGGAGCAGCAGTGGTTGTCAGAGCAGCTGTGGTTGTTGGAGCAGCTGTGGTTGTTGTTGCAGCAGCTGTGGTTGTTGGAGAAGCTGTGGTTGTTGGAGCAGCTGTGGTCGTTGTTGCAGCAGCCGTGGTTGTTGGAGCACCTGTGGTCGTTGTTGCAGCAGCCGTGGTTGTTGGAGCAGCTGTGGTTGTTGGAGCAGCTGTGGTTGTTGGATTAGCTGTGGTTGTTGCAGCAGCTGTGGTTGTTGGAGCAGTTGTGGTTGTTGTTGCAGCAGCTGTGGTTGCTGGAGCAGCTGTGGTTGTTGTTGCAGCAGCACTTGTTGTTGCAGCAGCTGTGGTTGTTGGAGCAGCTGTGGTTGTTGTTGCAGCAGCAGTTGTTGTTGTTGCAGCAGCCGTGGTTGTTGCAGTAGCCGTGGTTGTTGGAGCAGCAGTGGTTGTCGGAGCAGCTGTGGTTGTTGGAGCAGCCGTGGTTGTTGCAGTAGCCGTGGTTGTTGGAGCAGCAGTGGTTGTTGGTGCAGCAGTGGTTGTCGGAGCAGCTGTGGTTGTTGGAGCAGCTGTGGTCGTTGTTGCAGCAGCCCTGCTTGTTGGAGCAGCTGTGGTTGTTGTTGCAGCAGCTGTGGGTGTTGGAGCAGCTGTGGTTGTTGTTGCAGCAGCTGTGGGTGTTGGAGCAGCTGTGGTTGTTGTTGCAGCAGCTGTGGTTGTTGGAGCAGCAGTGGTTGTTAGGGCAGCTGTGGTTGTTGGATTGGCTGTGGTTGTTGTTGCAGCCGCGGTGGTTGTTGTTGCAGCAGCTGTGGTTGTTGGAGCAGTGGTGGTTGTTGTTGGAGCAGCTGTGGTGGTTGTTGGAGCAGCTGTGGTTGTTGGAGCAGCTGTAGTTGTTGGAGCAGCTGTGGTTGTAGTTAGAACAGCTGTAGTTGTCGTTGCAGCTGCTGTGGTTGAGACAGAAGCTGTGGTTGCTGGAGCAACTGTAGTCGTTGGAGCAGCTGTGGTTGTTACAGCAGCTGTGGTTGTTGTTGCAGCCGTGGTGGTTGTTGTTGCAGCAGCCGTGGTTGTTGTTGCAGCAGCTGTGGTTGTTGGAGCAGCTGTGGTTGTTGTTGCAGCAGCTGTGGTTGTTGGAGCAGCTGTGGTTGTTGGATTAGCTGTGGTTGTTGCAGCAGCTGTGGTTGTTGGAGCAGTTGTGGTTGTTGTTGCAGCAGCTGTGGTTGTTGGAGCAGCTGTGGTTGTTGTTGCAGCAGCAGTTGTTGTTGTTGCAGCAGCTGTGGTTGTTGGAGCAGCTGTGGTTGTTGTTGCAGCAGTAGTTGTTGTTGCAGCAGCCGTGGTTGTTGCAGTAGCCGTGGTTGTTGGAGCAGCAGTGGTTGTCGGAGCAGCTGTGGTCGTTGTTGCAGCAGCCGTGGTTGTTGGAGAAGCTGTGGTTTTTGGAGCAGCTGCTGTAGTTGTTTCAGCAGCTGTGGTTGTTGGAGCACCTGTGGTTATTGTTGCAGCAGCCGTGGTTGTCGGAGAAGCTGTGGTTGTTGTTGCTGCAGCAGTTGTTGTTGCAGCAGCCGTGGTTTTTGCAGTAGCCCTGGTTGTTGGAGCAGCAGTGGTTGTCGGAGCAGCTGTGGTTGTTGGAGCAGCTGTGGTTGTTGTTGCAGCAGCCGTGGTTGTTGCAGTAGCCGTGGTTGTTGGAGCAGCAGTGGTTGTCGGAGCAGCTGTGGTTGTTGGAGCAGCTGTGGTCGTTGTTGCAGCAGCCGTGGTTGTTGGAGAAGCTGTGGTTGTTGGGGCACCTGTGGTTGTTGGAGCAGCTGTTTTGGTTGTTGCAGCAGCGGTGGTTGTTGTTGCAGCAGCCGTGGTTGTTGCAGTAGCCGTGGTTGTCGGACCACCTGTGGTTGTTGGAGCAGCTGTGGTTGTTGCTGCAGCAGCAATTGTTGTTGTTGCAGCAGCCGTGGTTGTTGGAGCAGCTGTGGTTGTTGTTGCAGCAGCAATTGTTGTTGTTGCAGCAGCCGTGGTTGTTGCAGTAGCCGTGGTTGTCGGACCACCTGTGGTTGTTGGAGCAGCTGTGGTTGTTGCTGCAGCAGCCGTGGTTGTTGGAGAAGCTGTGGTTGTTGCAGCAGCTGTGGTCGTTGTTGCAGCAGCCGTGGTTGTTGGAGCACCTGTGGTTGTTGGGGCAGCTGTGGTTGTTGGAGCAGCTGTGGTTGTTGGAGCAGCAGTGTTTGTTGCAGCAGCTGTGGTTGTTGCTGCAGCAGACGTGGTTGTTGGAGAAGCTGTAGTTGTTGCAGCAGCTGTGGTCGTTGTTGCAGCAGCTGTGGTTGTTGGAGCAGCTGTGGTCGTTGTTGCAGAAGCTGTGGTTGTTGGAGCAGCTGTGGTTGTTGGAGCAGCTGTGGTTGTTGGGGCAGCTGTGGTTGTTGGGGCAGCTGTGGTTGCTGGAGCAGCTGTGGTTGTTGTTGCAGCAGCGGTAGTTGTTGGAGCAGCAGTGGTTGTTGGAGCAGCTGTTGTTGTTGTTGCAGCAGCAGTTGTTGTTGCAGCAGCTGTGGTTGTTGTTGCAGCAGCCGTGGTTGTTGCAGTAGCAGTGGTTGTTGGAGCAGCAGTGGTTGTCGGAGCAGCAGTGGTTGTTGGAGCAGCTGTGGTTGTTGTTGCAGCAGCCGTGGTTGTTGGAGAAGCTGTGGTTGTTGGAGCAGCTGTTGTCATTGTTGCAGCAGCTGTGGTTGTTGGAGCACCTGTGGTTGTTGGGGCAGCTGTGGTTGTTGGAGCAGCTGTGGTCGTTGTTGCAGCAGCAGTGGTTGTTGGAGCAGCTGTGGTTGTTGCAGCAGCTGTGGTTGTTGGATTAGCTGTGGTTGTTGCAGCAGCTGTGGTTGTTAGAGCAGCTGTGGTTGTCGTTGCAGCAGCGGTGGTTGTTGTTGCAGCAGCAATGGTTGTTGTTGCAGAAGCTGTGGTTGTTGGAGCAGCTATGGTCGTTGTTGCAGCAGCTGTGGTTGTTGGAGCAGCAGTGGTTGTTGTAGCAGCTGTGGTCATTGTTGCAGCAGCTGTGGTTGTTGGAGCAGCTGTAGTCGTTGTTGCAGCAGCAGTGGTTGTTGGAGCAGCTGTGGTTGTTGGGGCAGCTATGGTTGTGGGATTAGCTGTGGTTGTTGCAGCAGCTGTGGTTGTTGTTGCAGCCGCAGTGGTTGTTGTTGCAGCAGCTGTGGTTGTGGGAGCAGTGGTGGTTGTTGTTGGAGCAGCTGTGGTGGTTGTTGGAGCAGCTGTGGTGGTTGTTGGAGCAGCTGTGATTGTTGTAGCAGCTGTGGTTGATGTTGCAGCAGTGGTGGTTGTTGTTGCAGCAGCCGTGGTTGTTGTTGCAGCAGCTGTGGTTGTTGGAGCAGCTGTGGTCGTTGCAGCAGCTGTGGTTTTTGGAGCAGCTGTGGTTGTTGGAGCAGCTGTGGTAGTTGGAGCAGCTGTGGTTGTTGGAGCAGCTGTGGTTGTTGGAGCAGCTGTGGTTGTTGGATTAGCTGTGGTTGTTGCAGCAGAAGTGGTTGTTGGAGCAGTTGTGGTTGTTGTTGCAGCAGCTGTGGTTGTTGGAGCAGCTGTGGTTGTTGTTGCAGCAGCAATTGTTGTTGTTGCAGCAGCCGTGGTTGTTGCAGTAGCCGTGGTTGTCGGACCACCTGTGGTTGTTGGAGCAGCTGTGGTTGTTGCTGCAGCAGCCGTGGTTGTTGGAGAAGCTGTGGTTGTTGCAGCAGCTGTGGTCGTTGTTGCAGCAGCCGTGGTTGTTGGAGCACCTGTGGTTGTTGGGGCAGCTGTGGTTGTTGGAGCAGCTGTGGTTGTTGGAGCAGCAGTGTTTGTTGCAGCAGCTGTGGTTGTTGCTGCAGCAGACGTGGTTGTTGGAGTAGCTGTAGTTGTTGCAGCAGCTGTGGTCGTTGTTGCAGCAGCTGTGGTTGTTGGAGCAGCTGTGGTCGTTGTTGCAGAAGCTGTGGTTGTTGCAGCAGCAGTGGTTGTTGGAGCAGCTGTGGTTGTTGGATTAGCTGTGGTTGTTGCAGCAGCTGTGGTTGTTGGAGCAGTTGTGGTTGTTGTTGCAGCAGCTGTGGTTGTTGGAGCACCTGTGGTTGTTGGGGCGGCTGTGGTTGTTGGATTAGCTGTGGTTGTTGCAGCAGCTGTGGTTGTTGGAGCAGCAGTGGTTGTTGTAGCAGCTATGGTCGTTGTTGCAGCAGCCATGGTTGTTGGAGCAGCTGTAGTCGTTGCAGCAGCAGTGGTTGTTGAAGCAGCTGTGGTTGCTGGAGCAACTGTAGTTGTTGGAGCAGCTGTGGTTGTTATAGCAGCTGTGGTTGTGGGAGCAGCTGTGGTTGTTGTTGCAGCAGTGGTGGTTGTTGTTGCAGCAGCTGTGGTTGTTGGAGCAGCTGTGGTCATTGTTGCAGCAGCTGTGGTTGTTGCAGCAGCAGTGGTTGTTGGAGCAGCTGTGGTTGTTGGATTAGCTGTGGTTGTTGCAGCAGCTGTGGTTGTTGGAGCAATTGTGGTTGTTGTTGCAGCAGTCATGGTTGTTGGAGCAGCTGTGGTTGTTGTTGCAACAGCCGTGGTTGTTGCAGTAGCCGTGGTTGTTGGAGCAGCAGTGGTTGTCAGAGCAGCTGTGGTTGTTGGAGCAGCTGTGGTTGTTGTTGCAGCAGCTGTGGTTGTTGGAGAAGCTGTGGTTGTTGGAGCAGCTGTGGTCGTTGTTGCAGCAGCCGTGGTTGTTGGAGCACCTGTGGTCGTTGTTGCAGCAGCCGTGGTTGTTGGAGCAGCTGTGGTTGTTGGAGCAGCTGTGGTTGTTGGATTAGCTGTGGTTGTTGCAGCAGCTGTGGTTGTTGGAGCAGTTGTGGTTGTTGTTGCAGCAGCTGTGGTTGCTGGAGCAGCTGTGGTTGTTGTTGCAGCAGCACTTGTTGTTGCAGCGGCTGTTGTTGTTGGAGCAGCTGTGGTTGTTGTTGCAGCAGCAGTTGTTGTTGTTGCAGCAGCCGTGGTTGTTGCAGTAGCCGTGGTTGTTGGAGCAGCAGTGGTTGTCGGAGCAGCTGTGGTTGTTGGAGCAGCTGAGGTCGTTGTTGCAGCAGCCGTGGTTGTTGCAGTAGCCGTGGTTGTTGGAGCAGCAGTGGTTGTTTGAGCAGCAGTGGTTGTCGGAGCAGCTGTGGTTGTTGGAGCAGCTGTGGTCGTTGTTGCAGCAGCCGTGCTTGTTGGAGCAGCTGTGGTCGTTGTTGCAGCAGCCACTGTTGTTGCAGCAGCCCTGGTTGTTGTTGCAGCAGCTGTGGTTGTTGGAGCAGCTGTGGTCGTTGTAGCAGCTGTGGTTGTTGGAGCAGCTGTGGTTGTTGGAGCAGCTGTGGTAGTTGGAGCAGCTGTGGTAGTTGGAGCAGCTGTGGTTGTTGGAGCAGCTGTGGTCGTTGCAGCAGCTGTGGTTGTTGGAGCAGCTGTGGTTGTTGGAGCAACTGTGGTTGTTGGAGCAGCTGTGGTTGTTGGATTAGCTGTGGTTGTTGCAGCAGAAGTGGTTGTTGGAGCAGTTGTGGTTGTTGTTGCAGCAGCTGTGGTTGTTGGAGCAGCTGTGGTTGTTGTTGCAGCAGCAATTGTTGTTGTTGCAGCAGCCGTGGTTGTTGCAGTAGCCGTGGTTGTCGGACCACCTGTGGTTGTTGGAGCAGCTGTGGTTGTTGCTGCAGCAGCCGTGGTTGTTGGAGAAGCTGTGGTTGTTGCAGCAGCTGTGGTCGTTGTTGCAGCAGCCGTGGTTGTTGGAGCACCTGTGGTTGTTGTTGCAGCTGTGGTTGTTGGAGCAGCTGTGGTTATTGGAGCAGCAGTGTTTGTTGCAGCAGCTGTGGTTGTTGCTGCAGCAGACGTGGTTGTTGGAGAAGCTGTAGTTGTTGCAGCAGCTGTGGTCGTTGTTGCAGCAGCTGTGGTTGTTGGAGCAGCTGTGGTCGTTGTTGCAGCAGCTGTGGTTGTTGCTGCAGCAGTGGTTGTTGGAGCAGCTGTGGTTGTTGGATTAGCTGTGGTTGTTGCAGCAGCTGTGGTTGTTGGAGCAGTTGTGGTTGTTGTTGCAGCAGCTGTGGTTGTTGGAGCACCTGTGGTTGTTGGGGCGGCTGTGGTTGTTGGATTAGCTGTGGTTGTTGCAGCAGCTGTGGTTGTTGGAGCAGCAGTGGTTGTTGTAGCAGCTATGGTCGTTGTTGCAGCAGCCGTGGTTGTTGGAGCAGCTGTAGTCGTTGCAGCAGCAGTGGTTGTTGGAGCAGCTGTGGTTGCTGGAGCAACTGTAGTTGTTGGAGCAGCTGTGGTTGTTACAGCAGCTGTGGTTGTGGGAGCAGCTGTGGTTGTTGTTGCAGCAGTCGTGGTTGTTGTTGCAACAGCCGTGGTTGTTGTTGCAGTAGCTGTGGTTGTTGGAGCAGCTGTGGTCGTTGTTGCAGCAGCTGTGGTTGTTGCAGCAGCAGTGGTTGTTGGAGCAGCTGTGGTTGTTGGATTAGCTGTGGTTGTTGCAGCAGCTGTGGTTGTTGGAGCAGTTGTGGTTGTTGTTGCAGCAGCTGTGGTTGTTGGAGCAGCTGTAGTTGTTGTTGCAACAGCCGTGGTTGTTGCAGTAGCCGTAGTTGTTGGAGCAGCAGTGGTTGTCAGAGCAGCTGTGGTTGTTGGAGCAGCTGTGGTTGTTGTTGCAGCAGCTGTGGTTGTTGGAGAAGCTGTGGTTGTTGGAGCAGCTGTGGTCGTTGTTGCAGCAGCCGTGGTTGTTGGAGCACCTGTGGTCGTTGTTGCAGCAGCCGTGGTTGTTGGAGCAGCTGTGGTTGTTGGAGCAGCTGTGGTTGTTGGATTAGCTGTGGTTGTTGCAGCAGCTGTGGTTGTTGGAGCAGTTGTGGTTGTTGTTGCAGCAGCTGTGGTTGCTGGAGCAGCTGTGGTTGTTGTTGCAGCAGCACTTGTTGTTGCAGCAGCTGTGGTTGTTGGAGCAGCTGTGGTTGTTGTTGCAGCAGCAGTTGTTGTTGTTGCAGCAGCCGTGGTTGTTGCAGTAGCCGTGGTTGTTGGAGCAGCAGTGGTTGTCGGAGCAGCTGTGGTTGTTGGAGCAGCTGAGGTCGTTGTTGCAGCAGCCGTGGTTGTTGCAGTAGCCGTGGTTGTTGGAGCAGCAGTGGTTGTTGGAGCAGCAGTGGTTGTCGGAGCAGCTGTGGTTGTTGGAGCAGCTGTGGTCGTTGTTGCAGCAGCCCTGCTTGTTGGAGCAGCTGTGGTTGTTGTTGCAGCAGCTGTGGGTGTTGGAGCAGCTGTGGTTGTTGTTGCAGCAGCTGTGGGTGTTGGAGCAGCTGTGGTTGTTGTTGCAGCAGCTGTGGTTGTTGGAGCAGCAGTGGTTGTTAGGGCAGCTGTGGTTGTTGGATTGGCTGTGGTTGTTGTTGCAGCCGCGGTGGTTGTTGTTGCAGCAGCTGTGGTTGTTGGAGCAGTGGTGGTTGTTGTTGGAGCAGCTGTGGTGGTTGTTGGAGCAGCTGTGGTTGTTGGAGCAGCTGTAGTTGTTGGAGCAGCTGTGGTTGTAGTTAGAACAGCTGTAGTTGTCGTTGCAGCTGCTGTGGTTGAGACAGAAGCTGTGGTTGCTGGAGCAACTGTAGTCGTTGGAGCAGCTGTGGTTGTTACAGCAGCTGTGGTTGTTGGAGCAGCTGTGGTTGTTGTTGCAGCCGTGGTGGTTGTTGTTGCAGCAGCCGTGGTTGTTGTTGCAGCAGCTGTGGTTGTTGGAGCAGCTGTGGTTGTTGTTGCAGCAGCAGCTGTGGTTGTTGGAGCAGCTGTGGTTGTTGGATTAGCTGTGGTTGTTGCAGCAGCTGTGGTTGTTGGAGCAGTTGTGGTTGTTGTTGCAGCAGCTGTGGTTGTTGGAGCAGCTGTGGTTGTTGTTGCAGCAGCAGTTGTTGTTGTTGCAGCAGCTGTGGTTGTTGGAGCAGCTGTGGTTGTTGTTGCAGCAGTAGTTGTTGTTGCAGCAGCCGTGGTTGTTGCAGTAGCCGTGGTTGTTGGAGCAGCAGTGGTTGTCGGAGCAGCTGTGGTCGTTGTTGCAGCAGCCGTGGTTGTTGGAGAAGCTGTGGTTTTTGGAGCAGCTGCTGTAGTTGTTTCAGCAGCTGTGGTTGTTGGAGCACCTGTGGTTATTGTTGCAGCAGCCGTGGTTGTCGGAGAAGCTGTGGTTGTTGTTGCTGCAGCAGTTGTTGTTGCAGCAGCCGTGGTTTTTGCAGTAGCCATGGTTGTTGGAGCAGCAGTGGTTGTCGGAGCAGCTGTGGTTGTTGGAGCAGCTGTGGTTGTTGTTGCAGCAGCCGTGGTTGTTGCAGTAGCCGTGGTTGTTGGAGCAGCAGTGGTTGTCGGAGCAGCTGTGGTTGTTGGAGCAGCTGTGGTCGTTGTTGCAGCAGCCGTGGTTGTTGGAGAAGCTGTGGTTGTTGGGGCACCTGTGGTTGTTGGAGCAGCTGTTTTGGTTGTTGCAGCAGCGGTGGTTGTTGTTGCAGCAGCTATGGTTGTTATAGCAGCTGTGGTCGTTGTTGCAGCAGCTGTGGTTGTTGTAGCAGCTGTAGTCGTTGCAGCAGCAGTGGTTGGTGGAGCAGCTGTGGTTGTTGGGGCAGCTGTGGTTGTTGGATTAGCTGTGGTTGTTGCAGCAGCTGTGGTTGTTGGAGCAGCCGCAGTGGTTGTTGTTGCAGCAGCTGTTGTTGTTGGAGCAGTCGTGGGGGTTGTTGGAGCAGCTGTGGTTGTTGGAGCAGCTGTAGTTGTTGGAGCAGCTGTGGTTGTAGTTGGAGCAGCTGTAGTTGTTGTTGCAGCTGCTGCGGTTGAGACAGAAGCTGTGGTTGATGGAGCAACTGTGGTTGTTGGAGCAGCTGTGGGGGTTGTTGGAGCAGCTGTGGTTGTTGTCGGAGCAGCTGTGTTTGTTGCTGGACCCGTTGTGGTTGTTTGAGCAGCTGTGGTCATCATCTGGATGCCTAGGTTTCATTTTATAAGAATTATTTATAAATTAGAGCACAATGAATTATATATATTTTTCAAATTTATCACTGCCACATTGTAGTTTTAGATGTTTAACTTACCAGCAACAAGTAGCAGTATCCAAAAAATCTTCATTATTCTTCTTTATTTTGTTTTCTGTCTAAAAGAAAATGTGTATATTAGCATTTGCGCTGTATTTTCCTTTAAAAAAAAGAATATATAACATACTACATATATTACTTTAACATTCATTTAAAATATCTTTAAAATATTAAAGTTCAATATTATTTTTATTGATTTTCCTCTTTTAATCAAGTAACACTGTAAATATTTACTTTTCTACTTCAGTTCTTTTTTGTCATTTTCTGGCAAAATGGATCAAGTTGCCATTTTTATTTTCAATCAAGATCTTCCTAATTATAGAATGGTAATGTAAGACAGTGAGTTCTACTAACCCTTGTGAATTCATTTATTCTGCAATATGTATTTGGTAATCCCCATTTCCACAAACTGCCATCAAAGACATTTTACTAGATGAGATAAGCAAATCCAATTCTAATAATAAAATATTTTATGAAAAAATTAGATCCAAATTTAATAATATAGATTACTATTTTATTCCAATTATAACAATGTAATCAAATCTGGCTTATAATACCAATTGATAAAGAATATTACATCTATAGCATTAAGTTATTGATTTTCAATGAATCCACAATCTTGAGTTAGAAGTAATGTTAGATTAATGTTGAAGATTAATTATAGAATATCTCTATGTCCTAAGCACTCATAGAGTAAGTTGTACTGAAATTAGTTGAAATGTATTACTTACAGGTTTTGTGTAATAAGTTGCCTTCGCTGTTGTAACAGAGGTTCTGATGCTCCGTGATCAGTTTGCTGGTCAAATGGTACTATTCACCGTTGAAGCAAAGGGTTTATATAGATCAGGAGCAGGTACTTTGACGTCAGTTGCATGCAAAGGTGAAAATTTGTCAGCAATTAAGTGAATAATGCTTTATCTTAGGTGTGGCTACAGGTTGAACATAGTTTTAATATTCAGTTCAAGACTGGATTCCCAGCATTCCTTTTTATTTTGGACTGAAGCACATGACTTTTTTTTTAGGGATACTTAAAGCACAACATTTAAACAAGTCTATATTGAACTAAGATGTAAGATTTACATTCATTGTTTGGAATAACACTACAATGATTATTTATTTCTTGGTGGGTTTCGGTTAATACAATTTAGCTTAGCAGTTTCAAGTAACAAAGTTATATAAAGTATTCAACTTTAAAGTTTTCTAAGATTTTTTGTGACGTCAGTTTCCATCAATATATGGATAGCACAACATATCAATGAATATTAAGAGTCATACCACAAAAAAACTGTTTGTGTATTTCAACTGCTTATTTTCAGAAATTAGATTTGTCTAAACAGGTAACTATAACCTACCATATATTGAAGAAAGAGTAAACTGTTGGCTTTAGAGAGCTAACATATGTTGGAAGAAGATTAAATCAAATCATGCCGTATCCTTTCATTTCAATTTTATTGAATCACAAAGTTTTATACATGTTTAGTGCTTTTTAAAATATGAAATACACTGGAAAAATATATGCTGTTTTGACTCTCCTGTTATTCAGGTTATCTGGGAAGGATCATGCAGTGCACCTTTGACGCTGCCTGTCTCTACTGGAATGTTAATTATCCTACGCAAATTGCAAACCTCTGACATTAAGACACATCCACTGCATAAGTCACACCTATCCATTTAAGTTCAGATTTTATTACAGCTTACTATATCAATCAAATATATGTGTTGTGACCAAAAAAGAAAAACTACATAACATTTGTAAGGTATTAAATATAAGACCGAATCAGTTTATGTTTGGGTTTCTTATGTGTGGCTGCTTTGTTACAGGTAAGTTGTATGTTTATAAATAGGGACGTCAGTAATGTTATTTACCTCTGAGCTCTTTTTTCACATGTCTTTTAATTTAATGTATTTTTAACAGCCAGGTGAATCTTAAATCTCACCACATGACATCCACATGGGCTTTCTTAAGAATGTATTGCATACACCTTTAATAGAGGATAGAAATGTCACAGTTAATAGATGTTCAGCGTTTCTTTAAAAGAAAATATATATTAAGCTCATCTGTACCAAATATTAGATTTTAAATTCGCTGTAGCTGTTCTAAAATTTCATTTTTACAGATTCTGAAACTCATACCGACAATCTTCTTGCTGCTTGTCCATTGATTGCTGGGATAAGGATCAGACCCTCTGTTACATCAAAAGCAACCTTTGAATTTTTCCAACAAAACCACCACATCTAGTTTTCTCATTATATTCAATTATTTTTTAATAATTTAATCATTTTTAGAGCCTTCTTTTTTTTTTTTTACTGTAACAGCATAGCACAATTTGGTGATACCTTCTCTGACCGACACATTTTCTTTCCAGTATCTAATTTTGAACCGGCAGTAACTTATGTAAAGGTGAACTACTGAAATGGTTTCTTATATGATTCCGTCACAACAGGAAGGTTTTTAAAGTCACAACTTTGGAGTGACACCTTTATTATGCAGACTGTTTTGTTCTTGCAAACAATGTCCACCCTTTACTTACTGGATCAGTTTTGACGTCAAAGAAAATAAAACTACATGCTGGAAATAATTTTTGTCCTGAATTTGTTTGCTAGTCTGCAGAGGGCTGCATTTCTTAAAAACCTGTTGTTGTTTTTTCATACAAAAATAGTTTTTTACTACTGATGTAGATATTTTCTTTTTACTTTTAAGTCTTGTTAAGACTTAACTGTTAAGACACAGCAAAGCAGGAACAGATCAGGAAGTTGCGGAGGAGCAGGAAAATGCGACCACCTCCTTCAAGAGTGAGAACAGAAAGACATTTAAGCAAAAATTAAATGAAAGATGTCTTTTCAGGGATAAAAAAAAAAATTCCATCAAAATTATCAACACAACTTAACTTCAAGATATGGATATTCACATAAAGGATATTTTAGGATAATTCATTATTAATTAGTAGGTGTGTAGACTAAATATAATTTATGCCCGAGAGCTTATCACTGAGTTTTCCAAAGCTGGTAGTAGATAAGAAAATACTGAGGGATTAATTACCTGCGCTGCACAATGGCAGCCCACTGCTCCAGGGGATGGGTTAAATGCAGAGAATTCATTTCGTTGCTTTGTACTTGTGACAGTGGAATGACAAAGTTGAATTCTATATCAATGCATTTTTTATCACAGTGTTTTTTCTCCCACAATGTTTACATTTGATCACCGCTGTACTTTAAGGAAATGTCATGATACATAGGGTTTGTGAACACTGCGTATACAAAATGACAATAAATGTTGTTTAGTCTAAGTCTAAATGTATCCAGGGATAAATCACCTACATGTGACATTGATGTATGTTCTCTTTTAAAGGAAGTTCCAATATCCTTTGTGATGGGAAAATGTATCTGCTATTAATTCCCTTTTACATATACTGATTTAATAGCAATGAGTTTCATTCAATTAGACCTCAGAGCTGCAAGGTTACAAGGTGTTTAAGCGAGAGGGGTTGTTTATCATATTAGGAAGTTTTATTATTTTTTTAGTAATGGTATGTGGAGACATTCACAGCATTGTTGCAGGCTTTCAGTTACCCAGAAACAAACTTTGTCTATCTCCAGAACAGACATATGCTCAAGTGTTATCTATAGCATGGTCACATCATGTGTGTGTGCATGGTCACATTTCTTCACTTTCTGGCTGCAGACATGGTTGATAGAAATCCTAATGGAAAGAGCTAACTTCTAAAGATTTCTAAGGATTTCCCCCAAATATGTTTTTCATTATATGATCATTCAAGTTACTAGAGTAACCTTCCACCCAATAATTGTAAATTGGATGGTCTCTTTGCCCAACATATTTCAATTTCTAATGCTTGATTATGACCAATACTGTAAGCTATTTCAGTTGAATTATTTGATTCAGACTCATAACTATGACTTGGCTAACTTACAATTGGATCTTGCCTGGTGTGATAAATCAGATTTAATTTTTGAGTATAAAGAAATTGCAACCTGAAAGGAACTCAGAGAGCACCGATCTCTCCTGAGCAGCATGTTTCCCCTTTGTATTACCCGTCAATCTAATATTTGTACATTCATTTTGTCAACATTATCGTAATCCCTGACCATAAAGACATATCCATAGCATTTGAAATATTTTTACCACTTTTACTTCAATAGTAATTATGGCTAATATTATTTAGTTATTTCTATATTATCATAATTTCTATCAAAGCAGACATTTGCTTCATCATAACTCAAAAGGTTTAATTATACAGCCTTCACCACATGGCCTAAAACAACTGCTGGTGACTTTGATACTAGCACATTCAAAACTAATGGCTGCAGTCACATAAAAAAGGTGAAAAAGTAATTTGCAATTTAGTCCAGCTTTGCCAATTGGTACCCTCTGGTAGAATAGAGTAGTGAGCAATGGCTGGTAGTTTTAGTGTTGAGCTTCTGCACAAAAGGAACGTGCATTTTTCAATAAACATTATCTGTGTGTTTTAGTCTAAAGAACTTTGCCCACCCTGCCTAGTTGGAGCCTCTCTTTACACAGTGAGTGTTACATGGAAAAAAATCAGAACAGAGATTAAAAGGTCATACTAAACCAGTGCGTTCAGGCCTCAACTGTATGTACTCCCTTTCATCTGCAGACACGGGAGCTGGCTCGGACCATGTCTACCTGGCTGTTTGTTTCCATTAGGGTGTCACCTGTGGAGATGGTTGACAGTTACCTTTTGTATCTTGTATGCTTCTTTATGTATGTCTGCTTTTGTCTCCTTAAAACCCAGTCAACATCGGCAGATGGCCACTCACACTGAGCCTGAATTTGTTGGAGGGTTGTTCCTTTTAAAATGGAGTTTTCCTCTCCACTGTTGCTACAAGCTTGCTTGTTTTCCTTGGATAGAATGGAATAGTTGGATTGTCTCTGTAAAGTGCCTTGAGATGACATGTATTTAATTAGCAGTAAGTAAAGTTAAATAATTTAAATATAGTATTGTGATGAACAAATGTTAAACAATTCCCATTGATCCTAAAAGGATATTAAGATTAGTTTGAAAAAATAAATAATAATAAGATTAGTTTGATGGTTTTTTCTAGTTCTTAGATGCTGACTGTAGAAATAAATGTTTTATCAATTGGTATGAATCAAACTAAAACCTACTAAGTTTCAACATTTTATTTGTATTCTTTATTGCAATAAATAATAAACATTCTTTTTGTAACAACAGTCAGGCCTGTAACCACTTCGAACTTTGGTCAGCATAATATAACTAAAAGCTATAAATACAAATTTGGTTGTAATTCTTACACACAAGTATATAACAATTTGGATTACATCTTTAAAAAGCATGTAGTAACAGTGTGTAATATTTGAATGAATGTGTAGTGTGGCTCATGTGGTTCTGTATGAATGTTTCTTTAAAAAAAATGCATATTATAATCTAAAAAGGAAATATAGTTATTTAATGACAAGCAAATAAATAAACTGATAAATAAATAAATAAATTGAAATTTCTGTATGCATATCAAGATTCAATTCAACCACAAAAACTTTGCAAAACAAAAAGATAAAAGACAGTCATAAATTTAAATAAATCATTAAAAGTTTGTAGACATTTTTTCTTTGCATTAAACAATTGTTTCTTCATTTCAAAATAGCGGATGCAATGAGTGCTGTGATTAAAAGAAAACTTCCTTTATAAGTAACTCCTGCAGAGGCTGTGGTTGTTGCTGAAGTTGTAGCAGTGAGAATTGTTGTTGCTGCTACAGCAGCTGAGGTGGTTGTTGGAGCAGCTGTGGTCGTTGGAGCAGCTGTGGTTGTTGGAGCAGCTGTGGTCGTTGGAGCAGCTGTGGTTATTGCAGCAGCTGTGGTCGTTGTTGGAGCAGCTGTAGTTGTTGGAGCAGCTGTGGTTGTTGCAGCAGCTGTGGTTGTTGGAACAGCTGTGGTCGTTGTTGCAGCAGATGGGGTTGTTGCAGCAGCTGTGGTTGTTGCAGCAGCTGTGGTTGTTGGAGCAGCTGTGGTCGTTGGAGCAGCTGTGGTTATTGCAGCAGCTGTGGTCGTTGTTGGAGCAGCTGTAGTTGTTGGAGCAGCTGTGGTTGTTGCAGCAGCTGTGGTTGTTGGAACAGCTGTGGTCGTTGTTGCAGCAGATGGGGTTGTTGGAGCAGTTGTGGTCGTTGTTGCAGCAGATATGGTTGTTGGAGCAGCTGTGGTTGTTGGAACAGCTGTGGTCGTTGTTGCAGCAGATGGGGTTGTTGGAGCAGTTGTGGTCGTTGTTGCAGCAGATGTGGTTGTTGGAGCAGCTGTGGTTGTTGTTGCTGCAGTTGTGGTTGTTGAAGCAGCTGTGGTTGTTGGAGTAGCTGTGGTCGTTGTTGCAGCAGTTTCGATTGTTGTTGGAACAGCTGTGGTTGTTGTTGCAGCAGCTGTGGTTGTTGGAGCAGCTGTGGTTGTTGTTGCAGCAGCTGTGGTTGTTGGAGCAGCTGTGGTCGTTGTTGCAGCAACTGTGGTTGTTGGAGCAGCTGTGGTTGTTGGAGCAGCTGTGGTCGTTGTTGCAGCAGTTGTGGTTGTTGTTGAAACAGCTGTGGCTGTTGTTGCAGCAGCTGTGGTTGTTGGAGCAGCTGTGGTCGTTGTTGCAGCAGTTGTGGTTGTTGTTGAAACAGCTGTGGCTGTTGTTGCAGCAGCTGTGGTTGTTGGAGCAGCTGTGGTCGTTGTTGCAGCAGCTGTGGTTGTTGTTGGAACAGCTGTGGTTGTTGTTGCAGAAGCTGTGGTTGTTGGAGCAGTCGTGGTCGTAGGAGAAGCTGTTCCAGTTGTTTGAGCATGTATGGTCATTATCTGGATGCCTAGGTTTGATTTTATATGAATTATTAATCACGTAGAGCCTAATGAAATAAATTTGATTTTTAAACTTATAACTACCACATTGTGGTCTTAAGATGCTTAACTTACCAAGAAGTAGCAGTATCCACAAAATCTTCATTATTCTTCCTTATCTTGTTCTCTGTTTAAAAGAAAATGTCTTTATTATCTTTTATTTGTGATAGTTAGTTTACCTTCTAATTCCCGTTCATTTGAAGAAAAAAAATATCTATTTTATATGCCTTATCTGTAACTGTAACATACTACTTTAACAGTAATTTAATATATCTTTTAAAAAACAAAGTTTGATTTTCATTTAAAAGAGTTGCACTTTTTTCATGAAGTAATACTATTAATATCAACTTTTATATTTCCACGGCTTTTGTCCTTTTCTGAAAAAATGAATCAAGATTCTTTTTTTATTTTCAGTAAAGAATTTCATTATTATAAAATGCTAATGTAAGACAGGCACTTCAAACCATTGTGAATTAATTTACCTCTGCTGTCTGTTTTTATCTATAGCCCTTTCCACCAAATATGATATTCAGGAAGATTAACAAATCTATGACAGAATATCTATATCACAAAATATTAATATGTATTAACATAAATTATAATTTAATTCCTACTATAAGAATGTAGTCAGATACGGCTTATAATGCCAATTGGTAAAGAACTTTTAACAAAAGCATCCTTCTGAGTGAGCATGCGGGTTTGAAATCAGATGAATGATAGTATAATGATAATTTAATTGAATAACAATGCTTTCATGCTTTAATTAATTAAAACATTATTTCAAAGTAGCATAAGAAAGTACTTACAGATTTTGTCTGTTAAGTTGCCTTCACAGCTGGAACAGAGGTTCTGATGCTCCCTGATCCTATCAGTTTGCTGGTTAACTGGTACTATTCACAGTTTAGGCATAAAGGCTTTATATACATACAGAGCAGGTACTATAATGTCAGGTGCACGTAAAGGTAAAAATTAGTCAGCAATTAAGTAAATAATGCTTTATCGTAGGTGTGGCTACCGGTCGAACATTTTTTTGACTCATCTGTTTATGACTGGTTGATTGGTACGTGTCTGTTCTGGAGTGATACCAGCAGTTTGCAGACTGTTTTGTTCTGGTAAGGAACGTCAACCCTTTAATTACTCGATCGGTTTTGACGTCAAAGACAATGAAGCTGCAAGTTGGAAAGAATTTGTTTCTTAACTTTGTTTGCTAGTCTATTACGGGCTGCACTTTTTTATTCTGATATAAAAATAGTTAGTTTTACTTGTAGCTACATTGTTTTATCAAACTCATAAAAACTCTACAGTATGTCCTATGCGCAGGTTGTTCTTTGTTGAAATATTTTTTCAATTTTCTTAGAGACTCCGTATATTGAAGATGTAAACTCTATCAGCGGTAGCTGTTCTTAATGGATCAACAAGTCAACAGTGACAATTGTTGATCCAATATGCAAAGCTACAGGTTATAAGGCTTAGTGTATTTATAACTCGTAACAACTGAAAAAGTATCTCAGAGAAAAAAATTTGACCTTTCAGCAGAGAAGAATCTAATCCATCTTTATTTATGTGGCACTTAAAAAAAACAATAAATAAAAAATTATTATACAGTCCCATCAGAAGCCTTTTCAAAAGGCTTTAAACACTGTTCCAGATAGAATAAATGAATTATTGTTTAGTTAGTTATTATGAACTGATCATGAATCACTTTTGATTATATTTTAAAACCGAAAAGCCAAAAAAGTATTTGATTTCTGTTTTGTGCAATTGAAAGGCAGGCATGGAGAAACTTCATCATTTTTCCTGCCCTAATCGTAACATATGCGTCTGTTCTAAATTGAAGGTAAGTGTATTTATTTTGATGGGATTAAATTTATATCAGACTAAATCTTGTTGTTATTTTTGAACTTGTCATTTAAATCCTGTATAAAAGGGGTTTCTAGAATATCCTTTTTTCATATCCAAAATAATAAAAAAAATATATAAATATCTAGTCCAGGGGTGATGTAGACAAACTAGTCAATGTATTTTATATTTCAAGGCTAGACTATTGTAATTCTTTACTATCAGGAAGTCCATCAACTGTAGTTAGAAGCCCCCAGCTGATCAAAAATGCTGCAGCCAAAGTTCTGACGAAAATTTAAAAAAGTAATCAGATCTCTCCTATCCTAGCTTCTCTTCATTACCCTCCTGTTAAATGCAGAATAGAATTTTAAATTAACCTTCTCAGATTTATAGCCCTATATATCCATGCTCCATTTTATATCAGAGATCTGATTGTTCCTTATTTTTCTAACAGAGCATTTTGCTCTCAATCTGCAAGTTTATTAGTGGTTCCTAGAATTTCTAAAAGTAGAATGAAAGGCTGATTTTTTTGTTATCAGACTTCTCTCCATGGAACCAACAAGCAGTTTTAGTCAGTGAGACAGAAATCCTGTCTACTTTTAAGGCTAGGCTTAAAATGTTCCTCTTTGATAAAGCTTAAAGTTAAAAACAGTGTGTTATTTACTTAGTAACTGGGCAAGTAGAGAAGTAGGTGGAGCATTAACAGCCCGATCCGGTAGGGCCTGTTGTGGCTCCACAACAGTTAGGTTATACTGAACTATTATTCTGTACATGTGCTGCTACATGTTTGGGCTGCTGGATCACATGGGGACCATCCCCCCCCCCGCTTCGGCTTAATTTTATTTCTGTTTTCCCAACCTCCGGTGTTTGTCAAGTTCTACTCACAACTTTATGCTGTCTCTGCTTTTTCTCATGGTAGCTTCATCTGGTCTGTTCCTCTTTAGCTGTGTCTTTCCTGGATGGGATCATCTGTGGAGCTAGTTACCAGTTACCTTTTGTATTTCTGCTTCTGTCTTTTTGAACCCCAGTCAGCATTGACAAATGGCTATTCAAAATGAGCTTTGTTCTGCTGAGATTTTCTGTCCACTGTCGCTACATCCATGCTTGGTCTGAGGGATTGCTGAAGAGTCAATGACAAAATGCAAGCAAATGTCTTCACTGCAGGCTCATCTAATATAAGCATGTCTTGCAAATCAATGGCTTGATGCAATCAATTGGTTTTCCTAACCAATCTGACATGAACCTCTCTAAAGTGCCTTGAGATGTTACGTGTTGTGAATTGGTGCCATACAAATAAACTGAATATAAATTACCTTCTCCCCATTAGCACCAAGAGCTATAAAGACCTATTAGTCACCCCTTTATTAGGTAAGGGAAACAACTAAGCATTCAGAATAATATGCCCGAAGGGGCCTGTTTGAAGACCACTGTTACAGAGCAGTTAAATTATTTTGTACATGTAACAAAAACACATTAACTGTATTTGCAAAAAAAAAAAAAAAAAAAAGTATGTTACAGTATTGCCAGTACCAGATTGTTTTATACTCAGTATCAGATCGTAAAGGAAATTGGTGGTAGTTTACAAATTTGTAAAGAAGATTTAAGAGAAACAATGTGTATTTTCAAATAAAACTATTCTGTTGATTCTGTTGATTTATGTTTAATTTATGTTGATTTATGCTCCAAAATATCAATCCAAGCTCAAATCAAAATATCAGAGCCCTCATTGTATTGAAGACATAAATACAAAAAGAACACAAGAAAAGGGAGCCAGATTAATCAATGAAGAATGTAAGAACAGAACAGAAAACAGAACTTGCAGATGCATGGTATTCATCTGTTAGGGCAGCCACAGAGAACCATATTGGTTGGTTTGATTATTGGTCTATTACCCAGATTACTTGAAATGTTCTTAAAAAAACTTTAAGAAAATGCTTACCAGAGCTACACTTCATGCCAAGGAACAATTAATTAAAATTAAAAAATGATCCACATCATGTGCGAGTTTTATGGGCGTAGGTCACAATAAGGGGAAAATGTGTTGCTTGGCGGAGGTCTGCGCTCTCCAAGTGCTTTTTCTAGTTTTTTAAATTTTATTAAGAAATAAAGTGGAAAAAATGAGCTGCTAAAAAACACTGTAATTTTTCAGATTTGCTTGGGAGGCTGACACCCTATGTAGTGTGATGAAGGCTCACTATATTCAATGTAATTTTAATTTATTATCTGATTCAACCAAACCAGAAAGTTAAAGTCTCCTAAGTTTTTAACTAATAAATCATAGGAAAAATCTTCTCTGACCATAACTTTGTTTCGTATACACGTCTAATAATGGACCAGCAGTATCTGAAATACTATGTACACTTATGGCATTTGTTATTGACAAACCTGAAATGCTTGTTATGACTCAGTCAAAACACAAAGGTTTTCTGAGGTCATACCATCAAAAAAACAATTTCAGTATGCAGACTGTTGTTCTTGTGTTATGAAAGGAGAATACACCCTTGAATTAGACTCCCGTCACTCCATTGCTTTTTCTGTCAGAGACAATAAAATTAATTGAGGCGTCTTTAAACAAGTGTGTCTCTTGATTTTTGTTAGCTAATCTATACACAGTTAAATCCTTGTAAACCTCTGTGTAATAATTAGATACTGAAAAATAATTAGCTAATTTCACAAAAAAATTGGAATTTCAAGTTTTCTTATATTCCCATTTTGAAAGAGTTAGAAGCCATATGGAGCAAATTCTTGGAGAAAAAAAAGTTTCTAAAATATTAAAAATGTTTCAAGTTAAATAGTAAAAAAAACACCTTTGTATTATACAAAGAAGCCAACATGAAAAATTCAATGGTAAAACAAAACTTGGCAAAATGAGCGCAATTAATTTTAATCATAGAGAAGGCCTGTCGTTTCATGCCAGCGTTTATTTTATTGATTTGATTAAGTGTCAAGTACTTTTATTGGTGCCCAGCCCTCATGTGCTCATTGCACATAAACATATAATTTACAATAAAAGATTACTGATGATTGGAATAGTAGTTTTGTTGAGGACAGCTGCTGACATTTTATTGGATTAGGGATCCAGCTATGCCTTTGCAAAAGAGAGAGTTAGCCAATATATAAGCCAGAAAGACAGCTTGTTACTGAGAATATGCCGAAGTTGTCCAGAGGTGTCCAGAGGTGTCAAGTAACAAAGTACAAATACTTCATTACTGTACTTAAGTACTTTTTAGATAGCTATACTTTACTCCATTACTTATTTTCTTCCTACTTTCTTTTACATTTTTAAAACAAACGTTACTTGTAACTCTTGATTTCGGTTCAATATTTATAAATATTTATTTCACGTCATGTGAGCCATCCAATGCACATCATTGGCACTATACACATCTAGTGAAAACTAGTGTAATTGGATGAGTTATATAATGCAAACACTCATTGGTTAGCTAAAGGAAATCATCAGAAGCAAGCAGGTGTTCTTCAAACTGTAATCATGAATTGTCTATGCTGCAATGTCGGATTCAGAAAAAGATGTTAAAATGTCTGAAAGGTCGGACACAGGCGAGAGTGTATCGGGAGACAGAGACCAACAAGACCTCCCTCATCCTTGGACCTATCTCAAAGAATCTTTCAAAATAGTTGAAAAATTGAGCTTTCAATTCATATATTAGCATCTCGGCTGTTTTTATTTAAAGGTTACTTTATACTTTTATACTTTAAGTAGTTTTTAGAGCACATACTTTTTCACTTTTACTTGAGTAAAGAGGTAAAATTGACACAAACTTTTACCAGTGTTTTTAAACTGCAGTATCTATACTTCTACTTAAGTAACAAATGTGTGTACTTTTGAAACCACTGCTGTTGTCCCATGCAGATGATAATGAGTCAAACTTAGCCTAACTTTGTGATAAAGTGGCTCTAAGTTCTGTATCAGTGTTTCACATTGTTTTTGGACTAGAAACAGGAGACCCTGGCAGAGAAGGGTGGGTGGATTCAGATTTAAATCACTGCATTTCTTCCATTTGCTGTTTTGCTCTACCATTCAAATATTCAAGTTGAGAATCCATGTGTCCCAATTCAAATTCACCAAGTTTTAATATTTC